AAAGCTGGTAGTGCCCTCAAGCATAATGAGACTCTTCAAAGCCCAGATCCGAGAGAGGAAGGTCCAGAAGGGTGCAGGAGCCTCCTCTCTTCCATGCCTAAATCCTCCCCAGGGCAACTCTTGGCAGGGCCCAGAGCCTCCCTGATGATGGATACAAAATCCAGGACCATCTGCTTTTGGTTACACCAAAGGGCTATGGCCTGAACCTATGGCCCCACAGGACAGCCTCATCATTGTGTAAAAAACTCCACAACACTTAATTCACAATATAAGACACAAATACACACTCTAGCAGGGTACCATTTTGTTAAACTTCCAGATGTCTAACTGAGGAGATTGGGAAGACAGTGGTATAAGACGCACAAGAGGGAAAGGAGACTTAGAGGAAGAAGGTGAAGTCAGCTGCACAAGCTGAGTTTAAGCTGTTTGTAGGAGATCCAGGTGGAGGCAGCCAGCAGGGCCCTGGAGCCAGGAGTCTATGTATGCCTTTTTGTCGAGAATATGCAAGAAAATCACCACACTGCCAGCTTCGTATCCCTTCCCAGATTCACTCCTGTCTCTCCAGTGCTTCAAGCCCCAAGGGCAAGCTGCTACCGCCTCCCAGAGCCCTGCAGAGCTGTCCCCCTCTGCACCCCTCTCTTCCCTCATCTCCATGCCACATCATCTGCATCTGCTCATGAGTGTCCTGTGTATGTTCCAGGCCCAGGGGGCCAAGTGTGATAACTTGGTCACCAAAGAACAGTCACTTGATAAATATTTGTTGAATTGCACTGATGGGAAAGACAAAGTTGTTTAAATTCTTACACCTTGAGCTGCTTCCAAATCAGATTTGAGGAGCAGCCAGTCAGGGACCAGGATGAGCCAAAAGCACAAACAGTGCAGTTATGCCTGGGGTCCCGGCCCTGTACCTTCTGGGTTCCCCTTTGTGCTGCCATGTCCTCATCTACCAGCGAGCAAATCCCAATCCTCCAGCTAACTGCTGTGAGGCAGAGGGCCGAATCCAGGTGACATGGGGGCACTGTTCAACTCTAGAGGCATAGACTTGAAACCACCTTTTACAGAGTAATAGAGGGGTGCAAGGTGACTCCTGGATGAGGAATGACCTACTGAGTTGGTCAGGGATGTGGAAGGAGCAAGACTGGAAGATCAGAGAATGGGAGATCTGGGGAAGAGACAGGCAGGTGAACCTGAGGGAGTGGGGACAAATTGTGTCTACGTCAATGCCCACAGGACAGCAACCATTAAAGAGAAGGCATGCAGAAACCAAATGAACAGAAAGACTCCCTTTTTGATTGCTGAAGTGCTTGTGCAATGGACCAGTGATAGTCAGGGATGGGAGCTGTGCATGCAGCCAACAGCATGGACTCCCTTTTGTTAATGCTGATCTAGCTATCTGCGCTACTAGATCCTCAACCTGCCAAGAGCAGAAGCTGGCCCCGAATGCACCCAATATGAAATCATTCTTCAAGAAGAGTCACTTGAGGACAGGCTGATTACGTTGAATCCCTTCTACTCTGGAGATGACAGTGAATATGTTCTGCCTGCCTTACCTGCATGGTTCTCCTGGCACTAATCAGAAAGTACTGTCAGCACAAGATGCTATACACCATTGCTCCATATCAAGGGACCCATTTCATGGCAAAGGAGGTACGGTATGGGGGTATGAACACAGGATCCACTGGTCTTACTATAAGCTGCATCACCTAGAAGCCTTTCATCTACTAAAACAGTGGAATGGCCTACCAAAGGCTAGGACATCAGCTATGGACAAGATACTGCAGGATTGGAACTGTCCTCAGAGAGTATATGTCCTCAATATATATGGTACTTTGTCACCATAGCTATAATACATGGGTCTGGAAACTGAGGAGTGGTAGTAGTGCCACTTCTCTTATCATCGATCCCCAGTGACCCACTTGTGGAATGTACTTCCCATTCCCACAATGGGAATACTTCCGGTTCCCACAACCTCAGGTTCTGCTGGATCAGAAGTGCTAGTTCCTGAGCAGTGGGGACCAGGGAGACATTTTCACAAGGGGAGTCAGAAAGTGTCCTCTGAATGTAAAGCTATGAGTGTCACCTGGTCACTTTGGGCTCCTCATGCCGGTAAGCCAATAGACAAGAATCACTGTGTAAGAGAAGAAATTGACCCTGATAACCATAAGGGAGTAGGTGGTTGCTACACAATTAAGAAATAAAAGAAAACATGATCTATGTCAGCCAGGGTCTTCCAAAATCCAGATATCAAAATAGGATTAAGTGTGCAAGGATTTTATTAGGGCAAATACTTGTGAGAGAAAATAGAGAGGGAGCCAGGAGATGGTAAGAGAGTATCAGACTGCCATGTAGGTCTAACTCTGAATAAAAAAGATGAGAAAGGCAGCCTGACCCTGTCTCTACCAAAAAATTTAACAAAATTAGCTGGGTGTGGTGGCCCACATCTATAGCCCTAGCTACCAGGAGGCTGAGGCAGGAGGATTGCTCGAGCTCAGGAATTTGAGGTTACAGTGAACTATGATCTCACCACTGCACTCCAACCTGGGTAACAAAGTGAGTGTCTCTCTAAAAAGTGAGTGTTTCTCTAAAAAAACAAACAAAACAACCCCCCAAAAAAACGAAAAAGGAAAGTTGGGAGGAAGTGTTCTAGGCTGCTGTGCAGTCTAAGAAAGTCCAGCAAGGCTGCTGGGAGTCCTCAAGCCCAAGTCTACTCTCAGAGGAGTCCCACATCTCCTAAGGTAGGTCATTGTCTGGGAGCAGCTGGGAGTGGAGGGCACAGATTCCTAGAAAATGCCCAGATGGATTTTCAAAGTACAGCAGCTGTAGCTCCTGGTTAAATCATATTTCCTTTAATTGTAGGTCTGCAAGGTGCATTCTGTTAATATTAGCACCAAGATGATAGATGGATGGGTGACAGGTAGATGATTGATAGATAGATAGATAGATAAAATATGCAGGTATAATCTCCCTATTTATTGTTCTTTGTTCAGCCCTTGAGGAATACTTGTTTCAAGTTCAATATTTTTCTCTTCACTCTGAACATTTTAATCAACACTCTCAAGACTAAAATCTAATCTTCCAAGCCACAAAACATAGATAAATTTTGCTATGAAAAAAATTTAAAACTTGCGATTGGTCAATGACAAAACAAATTGAGAAAGAATTTTTGCAACACATATGATAAAAAGACTAATTTCTTTAGCGTGTGAAAGTGAGGTAAATGAAAAATGTTAACAACCTAGTAGAGAAATGCATAATGCAGCGTAAACTGAAGTACCTTGCTATGGAGATTAAGTGGCCATTCTACATACCACCAGGAAGTGGCAAATCTAAGCACAATCCAAATTTTAATACAAAAACTTGAAAAATTGTAACTAGTTACAAAGTTTTGTTAAAAGTTCATATTATAGTAAAAAAAAAAAAAGCAAAATATTCTCAAGCAAGCTGCACGGAGAAAGACTATGGAACACTTGATCCACTTAGAAAATGCCTTAGTTCAAACGGGTAGCAAATTAGTTGTCAATTAGAACAGTGGGATTGTCATACTATTATTAATTTAACTTTATATTTTCCATTTTTAAATTTTGCATCTGCCACTTGTTAAATTTTTGTAAAGGTACAACTGGCTCAGCCCTTTGAAATGATAGCAAACCCCTATGAAGCAGACAAAATTCAACTTAACAATGGACTTAGCCTGACAATCCCTCTCTTCAGACCTCCCCTGTTGCTCAAGTGTTGACACTGACTCCTGGCCACCATTCATTCCCCCCAGTGTGGGACCAGACAGGCAACCCAGGACATGTCCATCCTGGCACTGAGGAACATCAAAACCTAACTAACTACATGATAATTAATTAGTGATGCTTTTGGAGAAAGATCTTGATCAATGGAGGAGATGTGAAATTTGTCAGAATCAAAATGGAGTCACTTATGTTAAAAAAATAAAATAGAGCCCAGGAAGGCTGTGAAGAGAGGGTTCTTAAAACCCTACTTTCCCACAGCCTGGTATCTTTTAGCTCTTAACTCTGATTCTTTTAGGACTTCATTAATCTGCATAGTTGAATTGATTTATCTAAGAAATTAAAAGTGAATCTGCAATGCTAAGCAAACTCATTGAGTAGTTGTACAAATCTCTTATCCAAGAATATATATAATTCATGAAGTTGAACATTCGTGCAAAGAAGTAACACATGGCCAATGTACTTGGAACCATCAAGAGAGGGTTCTTATGCATAAATTCCTAACAACAAAAACTATTACAAAAGATTCTGCAACAAACACAACCTTTCACAAAGGCCATTGCAACCTTACATACATCAAAAAATACTTCTGCAAGGACATCTGCTTAGCAACTGCCTGTCCAACCTCAGACTGCCATCACTCTTGTTGTTGATGTTCCAGGCACTGCATCAGCTCCCTCCTCTCACACTATTTCACTGATCCCTCATCCCCAGGACCCCGTATCCCCATTTGTTAACAAGTAAGAATACTGAGGCTCAGAGAAGTTAAGTGAAGTTAAGGTCACACAGCTAGTAGATAGCAAGGCTAGGGTTCTACTTAAGCTTGGACTTGGAAACACTTTCTTTCACCTCTGTGGCCTATCAATCCATTAACAGGTATATTATAGCTTTTTGTGAGAAACATAACCTTTTCTCTCTACATAGATCACATAGTAATCTCAGATTTGAAGATCTCTTGAGGTTAGGAAGCCAAACTAAGGCAGACTTTAGACTTTACCTACAGTCTTAAGGTTCCTGAGCCTGCCAGGAAGTGATAATTTTTATCTTTGGGAACCCTAGAAACCAAGAATTCTGTGCACATTCTTTTTTTTTTTTCCCCTTGTGTCCTAAAATAATGCAAACAAATGTGTACATTGTTAAATATGATATTTCAGTCAAAGTTTTAGTAAATAACCAATGTTTCAAATTGTATTCTGTTATAAAGAAAGAGCAGATTTTTATTGGATTTATGCAAATAACTATATTGCCATAAGAATACTCATAGATAGTTTCTAAATTTTGGAGGAATCTAGTAGGGAGAAAAAGCAAATATATCCGTCTTTGTTCACAAAAGTATACTTTACCAAATTGCTGGAAACCATAGATAGTTCAAGAGAGAAAATTTTCTTAAATCTGAAAAACAAAACATTTAAGTAAAGAACCAGCAATGTTTTAAATGAAGGTCACAAAAACATTTTCTTCACCAGTTATTCAATCACACATAGTTAAATTTTGTTTTGTTTGATCTTGATTAGTAGTTTTAGGAACTCATCAGTTTCTTTACTGGAGTTTACTGAAAAATTCTTACTTAATCCATTGATCTTAAAGTTATTAGAAACCTGTATTTAAGAGTACTTCTAGAGTCCTTTCCATGAAAAGCAATTTTGAATGATAGCTCATTGCAGATGCTTTTAGAGAAAAATCAAAAGAATAATTGTGGATGACAAAAACTTAGAATAACCATGGTTCAAAATCTGATGAAAGTTTATTATAATCACCAATGGACAAGGAAATTTAGTTATTTTTGTGGCACACAGCACAATATCCAGAATTATGACTGATGTCATATTAGATTTCAAAGAGTTTCATGCAATTTTAGAACATTCATATCAATAATATACCCATAAATGTAACCGAAAGAAGATCTAGCATTACTTATCATTTGACATTGTTTCCCACACAATTTACCAAACAAGCCTAATCATATAATATCTCTACAAATGAGAGATACATCCTTTGAGACTTTCTAGTGGCCCAACTGGAAAATTCCAAAGTTAATTCTAGGTCAAAAAGACTTAATTTAGAATTTTGATCCTGCAGAAGCATGCCAAAGATGTCAAAAGGTTTAAAACACTTGATCAAAGCAGGATCAGAGGTCACTGTGAAATAATAGTCATTCACTTAACCAGAGTGAAAATCAAAAGACTTCAAAAATGATACAGAAAGTTACATAGATTTTAAAAAAAACCTTAACACTTTCAAAGTTCAGTTTTCCTAAGTAATCAAAAATCTAATAAAGACAACATAGAAACTTACCTTTTTTTTGAGACAGAGTCTCACTCTGTTGACCAGGCTACAGTGCCGTGGCATCAGCCTAGCTCACAGCAATCTCAAACTCCTGGGCTCAAGTGATCCTCCTGCCTCAGCCTCCCGAGTAGCTGGGACTACAGGCATGGGCCACCATGCCCGGCTAATTTTTTCTATATATTTTTAGTTAGCCAATTAATTTCTTTCTATTTTTAGTAGAGACAGGATCTTGCTCTTGCTGAGGCTGGTCTCAAACTCCTGACCTTGAGCGATCCTCCGGTCTCGGCCTTCCAGAGTGCTAAGATTATAGGTGTAAGTCACCACGCCTGGCCCAGAAATTTATCTTGACAAAACAAATTCTTTGTTTATTTTTAGGTTGGTTACCAAAAAGGTAAAAAAAAAAAAAATCTTGTAGTGTGATTGCTTTTCCTTACAGGAAGCCCATTTAGATATCCTGAAATCTGAAACTAATTAAAAATGTACCTGAATTTAATCAGTCACAGAAGGAATGTGCGTCCGAGGTTATGAGTATTATAGAAGAATTAAATAAGAAAACTGGTACCTTGAGTAGGGAAATATGTGACTCTTAATAACAGTGTGGGAAGTTTTCTGGTTACGTGGAACAATTCAGACACATCAGAAAAAGCTAAGAATACAGAATCAAGTTATACTAGTAGGAGAACATTGCTTTTATAGGTCTTCAAGATAAACATTTCAGCATTAGGTTATAAAAACAGAAAAAAAGTTATATGAGCTGACAAAAAAGTTGAAAGAGAGAGTTATTATCCCATGCCTTCTCAGGGGGAGAAAGAGCTGAAGTCAATGGTGCATGACCTGTAATCACATGCTGCGAGATACAGCAAAAGTTGAACTTCTTTATTTTTAAATTAAAATTAGAGACGGGGTCTCGCTCTTGCTCATGCTGGTCTCAAACTCCTGAGCTCAAGCAATACTCTTGCCTCGGCCTCCCAGAGTGCTAGGATTACAGGCGTGAGCCACAGTGCCCCACCCACATTCATTTTCTACGTGCCACTGCTCTTTTTGAAATTATTCTGATTCAATATATACCAACATGAGGATTCCCTATTATATTTTTACATCTTCTGTGCTGTGCTTCTCCACTGTTTTGGGTATGCAGAAATCCTTTCCTCATATACTCATCTACAGACTACAGATTTGGCAGAGACAACACTGGTGATCAGGCAGCAACACCATTACATAAATGTCTTCTTATTCTACTATGCACATAATTATTTTTGAACAAGTCACTAACTTTGCTGGCTTCTTCAGGCAAATGTGGCTTTAATTCATTAAAAGCTCCTGGAATGTCATTAGCTAGAAGGAATGCTAACGTGGGCAAATAACGAATTTTTAAACTGAAGTTTTTGTTGTTGCTGTGTCGTGTGGCCAATCCACTCATTGTGAATTTTCCACCAAATGCATTGGAGTGAATGGAAAAAACAAACTTTATTGGTAACATCTTGAAATTTGAAATTTACTTATAGAAGCTAGATTACCCCTAATTCCAAATCTGTTATTATGGTTTGGGATTCAATTGAAATACATTTTCTCCTTTATAAAGACAATGACAAAGTAATAGTTCCACCAAACATAATACAACTATCCTGATTGTGGTTTTCAGGATTTTAAACGTTAGGGATTTTAGACTTTAGGGATTTTGATCTTTCAGAATTTCAACATTCAGGATTATGGCATTCTGGATTGTGTCTTTCGGGGTTATAAATCCAAACTCAATGAGTGTCTATTATTTCATATAACATACCATAATTTTAAGATTTCAAATTAAATGAAGGGTCATTTATAAACATTTACCCCATTTACACTTACCTAATTTATTTTTAACAATTATACCTAGATTACTTATGAAAACTGAAATGTTAGATAAAGCCAGTTATCATTTCAAATTCTTTTCCTGTTGTCCATTTTTTATAGCCTGTGAATATTAGGTGTTCATCTAAGCAAGGGAAAAGAGCCACGTTATTTACAGATAAATGATTTGGCATAACCAAACCAAAATGAAACCAAATAAGTGTTCATAAACATTTTAGTCCAGGCACAGCAGATCAAACAAAATATTAAGTTAGGCACACAGAAAGAAACCAAAGTAAACTCACCAGAAAAGACATGCCTTGCAAACAGAACGTAAATTCCACAGAGACCGGAGAACTCAAACTAGAAGGACATTTGTTCTTATAACCAGAAAGGACTTGCTAGAAAAGACAGTCTTTTATTATCATCCTAGAGGGATGTAAAGTCTTTTATTTAAGGTGGGCTTATAACCAAGGTAAATCACAAAGTCAAGAGCTTCTGCCAAAAAGACAGAGGCTCCTCTCGGCCTGATGGGAGACTCACCAGGGCAGAAAAGGCGAGTCTTGGAAGTGGAGAGCTCCCACGGCTCACGGACTGGGCTGCACGCTGGGGTACTGCACACTGGTTCCAAGAACCACTGATTCCTTTTGATCGTGATCTTTCTTCACATCCCAATTCTGACACCATTTATGTCAACCTAAATAACAGAGAGAGAGAGGCTCTCTAAAAGGAAATGATATTTATTCAGGAATAGAGCACTGCATTGGGCATGCTCCCTGCCATGCAAACTATGAATGTATTCAGGAAAGTAAAAGAAAACAAAGGTTTTTAAAGGAAAAATGAGAGGGATTGCACAATTGTCTTAAGGTAATTATCCTTGGCTACAAGAATCAATAACAAGGATGATGGCTGTCTGATGTTGGACAGACAGGCTGTTGGTGGGCAGATGTCCTTGCAGAAGTATTTTTTGTGTAAGGTTGCAATGGCCTTTCTGCAAGATTGCAGGTTTTTTTGCAGTCTTTTGTGATAGTTTTTGTTATCACGACTTTATATATGAAAACCTTCTCTTCATAATCTTCTCTGGCTCTATTTGTCAGGGTTTTTTTGTTTGTTTGTTTTTTCAACACAGATGACTCCATTTTGAATCTGACAACTTTCACAATGCTATCAACTCCGAACAATCTTTCAGTAGAAGACAAATACACTCTTTTGGGCGCAATACTGAGCAGTGAAAGATGACCTCTCAGTCCCATCACTGGATGGGACTACAAGACAGAAGAGCAGAGACTCTCTTATTTCCTTTAAAAGTTAGTCTTCTTCTCCTCCTCTAAGGCACTCTTCTAGAAAAACCAATACTTTCTTTCTCCTCTTCACTTTTCCTTCCTCACACACAGACACCCCAAACTGGCAGTATGTCAAACGGCTGTATAGTGTAGATTCAAAGTATTGTTTTAAAATATGAATTAGTTGTCAACATTCTAGAAGTCATGTAAACGCACATAAAAATCTAAATTTCCAGCCCATTTTATTCATTTGGATTGCCTGTCTCTGTCTGAACTCTATAAGGTCTTAGAATTTGAAATGTCTGCCCCAGAGTTCCTCCAGGCCATGCCTGCCCCACCCAAGAGACAAAATGCCTCATGTCCCCCACTTAGCAGCAGCATCAAAGACTGTCAGGAAGGAATAAGACTCAAGGATCTTTGTCAGCACACTTCCTTTCATTTTACAAATGAGGAAGATGGACAGGGGTCCACAGAATATGATCAAGGTAATACATTGTTTGGTAGTGAAACCAGGAGAGAGTTTAGACCTTTGTTTTCTGAATCCACAGCATTTTCCTTAGTGTACCCATTGTGTTTTGGAGATGAGGAGATAAGGAAACCTTTCTAATTTCTCCCTTCGGCAGTTATATTTATTTGACATCTGCTGTGCCCAACCCAAGGCTATCTCTCCTGTTAGATTTGGGAATCTACAATTTACTGGTGTATGGCCCATGACTGGGTAATCAAGTAACTTTTTTTTTTTTCATTTAACCCAGATATTCCTAACTTTTCTAGCTACCGGGGATCACCATGCTTCCCTTAGTGTGAGTCTACCTGAATTCCCATCTTATTTACTCATGGAAAATCCCACTTTTTACCAAGATTCCATTCCCAGATAATTTTGATAATCCCCACCAAAATGCTTAAAGATCCCACAAACGCATCCAGATTCTACACTTCTTGAGGAAGTTTCAGGCAGGGGAGTGTTAAGGTGCAGGGCCCATAATAGCAGCCTTCCCCAGATTCAACTGGCCAGTGCCTCCTCAGCCTCATGGAACATTCTTTTTGGACTGGCGTATGCTTTGAGACATGGGGAGACATTATGCAGACTCTGGGGTCGTCTACCTGAAGAGTCCTCAGTCTGATTCATTTATTCCTGCATCTTAGGGATGCCCCTCATTTTCACACATGCCCAGGAAAGCCAACACTCTGCTACTTTCCCTTGTCAGAGGCCATCACGCCCACATCCTAATGTAGTACATTTTCTATTTTTTTTTTTTAAGACAGAGTCTCACTCTGTTGCCCAGGCTAGAGTGCCGTGGCATCAGCCTAGCTCACAGCAACCTCAAACTCCTGGGCTCAAGCAATCCTCCTGCCTCAGCCTCCCAAGTAGCTGGGACTACAGGCATGTGCCACCATGCCCGGCTAATTTTTTCTATATTTATTTTTAGTTGTCCAGCTAATTTTTCTTTAGTAGAGACAAGGTCTCACTCTTGCTCAGGCTGGTCTCGAACTCCTGAGCTCAAAAGATCTTCCCACTTTGGCCTCCAAGAGTGCTAGGATTACAGGCATAAGTCACCTCACCTAGCCCATAGTACATTTTTCTAATGTGGTAAGAACACTGGGCTGACTGTGTCTCCACTCCCTTGCCCATCATTTGCTCTGATTTCAGATCCTGAACATCAGCATGGAGGCCCCAGCCCTCTGCTGAGCCAGCTACTGCCCCATGTGGAGAAGAGGGAGTGATGGGGAAGGGAGTAGGGAGGGTGTCATTTGCTGTCAAACAGGGAGCAAGGGAACTAGAGTGAGAGGGGTCAGATTTGAGATACAACAGAGTTTGACTTTTAGGCTCTGAGTCAGCTAAAAAACCAAAAACAAAAACAAGAGAATTCCATTCATTAGTGTGTGTCCAGGGACTATATTTACAGTACCCAGAGAATCTGGCAAAGACTCTTCCAGAAGGAGTATAAGGGATCCACAGACAGAAGAGCCCAGAGTCCCCACCACTTTTCTCTTCCATAAGAGAAATGGAAGTGGCCTTTCTTGGGCTGCAGTAGCTCAGGCCGTAAGCATCCATGTTGACGACCCTGAGGTCCGGCACAGCCTGCCCCTAACCAGAGCAGCCATGTTTCTCAGTCCCACTCAACTCTTGTCCCTCAGACCTTTTAACTCCTGGACCAACCGTGTCCGCCCTAATCTTCCCCATGTCCCCTGCTTCATGCATGTTCCACAGAACAGCCTATAGAACATTGGTGAGTGAAGGGAAGAGGTCAGAGACAAGGGTAGGCAAGCAGGATGCTGCTAAATTATGAACAGCCTTGAATATTTTGGTATGGAATTTTGTCCCTTGGGACTGCATACTAGTACAACCTCTGTGGAAAGTAATATGGAGATACCTCAAAGAGCTACAAGTAGAATTAACATTTGATCCAGCAATCCCATTACTGGGCATCTACCCAAAAGAACAAGAGACATTCTATAAAAAAGACATCTGACACCGGGCGCGGTGGCTCACGCCTGTAATCCTAGCACTCTGGGAGGCCAAGGTGGGTGGATTGTTTGAGCTCAGGAGTTTGAGATCAGACTGAGCAAGAGCAAGACCCTGTCTCTACTAAAAATAGAAAGAAATTAGCTGGACAATTAAAAATATATACAGAAAAAATTAGCCGGGCATGGTGGCACATGCCTATAGTCCTGGCTACCAGGCAGGCTGAGGCAGAAGGATTGCTTGAGTCCAGGACTTTGAGATTGCTGTGAGCTAGGCTGATACCACGGCACTCTAGCTCGGGCAACAGAGTGAGACTCTTTCTTAAAAAAAAAAAAAATCTACACTAGAATGTTTATAGCAGCACAATCCACAATTGCAAAGATGTGGAAACAACCCAAGTGCCCATCAACACATGAGTGAATTAATAAAATGTGGATAGAGCTGGAACCCATCCTACTAAGTGAAGTATCACAAGAATGGAAAAACAAGCACCACATGTACTCACCATCAAATTGGTATTAACTGATCAACACTTAAGTGCACATATAGTAATAACATTCATTGGCTGTTAGGCAGATGGGAAGGAGGAGGAGGGGATGGGTATATTCACACCTAATGGGTGTGGTGTGCACCATCTGGGGGATGGACATGCTTGAAGCTCTGACTCAGGTGTAACCTAAATATCGGTACCTCTGTAATATACTGAAATAAAAAAAATTAAAAAATTAATTAAAAATTAAAAGAAGAATTTTGTCCTTATTCATGAGGTAAGGGTGAAAATCTTGGTTGTTAATTATAACGATTTTAAGCGTATTTTACCTTCCTTCTAAATTGAAAGAGAACGTGAAGGGAAAACACCTGAGGGACAAAGATAGCATCTTGGCTTATGGGCCAATGAAGAAACACTGAGGGAAAGGAAATAAGTAGGCAAAAGGAAAAAGAGAATCAGGACTGCAAATTTTTTAAGACAGCAAAACGGTATTCCAAAAAGAAAATTATGGTTATAATATTGGATGTAACAGAAAACCAGAGACAGAGAGGTGAGGTCTGACCAAGTGTCTTTAGATTTGGTAAATGAGGAAGCAGAGGCTCCTTGAGGGAAACTTTTCAAGAGAATTTTGGGGCAAGTTTGGGGAGACATGGAATTTCTGGGATTGAGATTTCAAAGAGTCCCTTGGGGAGTACTTTTAATGTTACCCCTAAGCATGCTTGGCACAGAAATCCTCAAGCCATAAGAAAGGCCTATAGTCTAGAATAAAGGAAAATGCTGACTATATTTCACAAGTGTTCAGACTAGTATTTCTTGGTGGATATTGAGCATCCAAGTATGGTGTGAAAACACAAAATTGGTCCTGACCCTCAGAATGCTCTAGAACAGAGGAGACAGGCTGGAAGAAGACAGAAGAGAGCTCTAATCCTGACCTGAGCTCCTCTTATTCACTTTCATGGTCTGCAGTTTCCACTTCTGTCCACATCCTGGCTTCTTATGTGGCTCATCTGTATGTACCTTCTTTCTCTTCCCAGGGGAAGCACTGTCATTCTGAGCTCCTCAGTTGGAGTGTATCACCCAGAAACTGTAAGTATTTCCTACTGTGGCTCTAGATTAAGAAAAAGAAAACAGCCTCATTTCATGAGAAAACTGGAGCTATCCAAAATATCCCAGGCTAGGTCATTGCTAGGTGGGGCCCACCTACATGTACACCTGAGTTTCCTTCTCCAGAAAGGACACTCGTGGCATCTTTGCCCTGTCTTTATGACATCATCAGTCATCTCTGCAGTTGCCCCAGAAAGGATATGTTTCTGGACATAGGTCTAGAAATCTAACAGCAACTATCCTCCTGAGTGGATCATCTACTCCGCCTTTCATCCACAGAAACTAGAGGCCGGCAACATTAGGAAAACAGCCCTGCTACACCTCCTCGAGACCCTGGCAGTGAAGCTGATGCAAAAGAACCTTTTGAAAGACCATTATAGACCTTTTGGCCCTGTGTGGCAGTGAGATGCAGAACTGTGGTCATTTGGGTGAGTCCATCTTCAGTCTTCAATGCGAGACGGGGGAGGACATTGATAATTGGTGAGCAACATATTGCATAGAGGGAGGGAAGGGAGGCTCACAATGTCAGCGTCTCCCGCTGGACTTACCTCCCTGACCTCCCTGACATCCCACTGACTGCCTGACAGGGGTGAACAAGCTTGACATGGGCAACAGAAAATCAGAAGCAAACTTTCATGCCTGGCAGCTGCCACCCAAGAGCTTTGCTGTCGTGAATGTTATAAGGCTCGGATTAGGCAAGCTGGAAGTGAATTGTACTGTGAATTTTTCTATTTCTTGAATTTCTCTCGCTGAGTTATTATCCCTTTCTGTTTTATATTTTATTAGCATTTGTATTTCACAAACAAATCTAATATAGCAATTTTTGAAAGTAAGGTGAGAGATTAAAGACGAAAATTCTAGGCTCAGGCTTATGGATAATTCTAATAAGGTTACACAATTATTACATACACTCTATGTTTTTGTACTTATTTGATTATTTCTTCCCCTCTTTGATCCACCACTGTTTGTACCTTGTGATAAGCTTACACAGAACTATTTAGCATAAAAATTAGCTTATGATTAGCAAACTCCAGTTCTTCCTTAGGCCAGTCATTTTCCACCAGCATTACATCCTAAGAAGGCTTTAACTGGATTTCCCAATACATTGACCGTCAGTATCAATATTATAATCTTATTAGCAATACCAGTGTCACACCATTTTGCAGAATGGTAGTAGATGAACCCTGAAAAGTAAAAATCAACAGATGCAGGCACATTAGCAGAGTCCTACTGAGTCATTAACAATTGGTCCTGTTTCATATGGTCATCATTTCATATGACCGACATGTCTCCAGGGATGTATATGCCACTCAGGTTTGCAGGCTTCCATTCAACCCATCAGGTTACAAAAGCAGGAGTGGTCAACATACGGCCTCACCAGTTCAGGCATCTGGCACGACTGAGCTAAGGGAGACAATATCATCTCTTGCCTCGAGCCTCTCCTGGGGTACAAAAGTAATATTGGATTTTTTACATTACATAACTCATTTATTCACTCATTTAGCCTCAGCTGCTATTCCTCCCTCTCTCCAATTATCATTTTACCCAACCTTTTCCAACTCTGAAGAGACATGAGGATCCAGACTGCCAGCAGCAAGACTGGTCTAACAAGTGTCGCCCCCTCATTCACTCTTGTTGACATGGCCTAGGGCTACGTAGGTATGGAGCTAGCAGGATACCATTATCACCAGGTAATACTGGTGCATTCCCTGTCAACCCCAGCTTTGCCATATGGGGGGAAGGTACAGTCTACCTCATTGGGATCTTAGGAATCCTGATCTAAAAGTTTCAAAGTATAATTGTAGTTTCTTGCATAAGGACCATCCCTGCCTCCAGTACCTGCAGTTGCAGCCCTGGTCCTGGGATAACTGTGTCAGGGAGGAAAAGAGAAAGTTGAGGTGATGTGGACAAGAATTGTGTGGTCACACCAGCACCTTCCTGCCATGGGAAGATTTCTAGTGGTAACATCATGCACCCCACCTCATCTTCCTCAGATGCCCCAGGAAAGTGGAGGAATATGTCTTCTGGAAACCCTGACTACCCTCCTCTATTTATGCCTCCACATATGCTGTGAACACAAATTTGCAGAGGCATCTAAGCCAGTCCTTCATGCCTTTATCTCCCCCATTTTAGACAACAAATGTTCGATTGACCATTTGAATTCTTTATCAAACCCTGACTCTGAGGATGAGAGTATGTTCTTTGGTCTGAAGAAATATGACTTGGTGGTCCAGATTGGTATAGAATCTTTTCTTCAGTATTTTTATAGTATTTTTTTTTAGTTTCTATAATTTTATTTATTTATTTATTTGTTTATTTTTTATTTCAGCATATTATGGGGGTACAAATGTTAAGGTTACATATATTGCCCATGCCCTCCCTTCCCCCTTGAGTCAGAGCTTCAAGCGTGACCATCCCCCAAGTATTTTTATAGTATTTTGAGCATTGCATCTACCACTGATTATGCAAAGCCCAGTCCAGAGTAAGTATGTATTCCTGTCAGGACCGATTAATAGCCCCCAGGGCCACCCACACTCAGGGAGTATAGTTGACTTACCAGCTGTGTGAGAGGCCTTTGGGCATCTGTCACATGGACATATACAGTCTCTGTCTCTCTTATTGGCAGGTGAAACAGATCTTGTTGGCATTTTGTACAAGAGGGATATGTCTAGTTTCAGCCACCTCTGCATTGATGAAGTGCCCCCACGTTCACTCATGTGTTGGGCCCAGTTGGCCACCTCAAACAAGCACAACAGGATGTACTCTTGCCAATTCTAATTACCTTCTGATCCTAGAAAGGAGCTCTTCTGATGTCATCAACATGTCCTACTTTAATGTGCCCCTTAAGTTCCCACAGGGAGTTTTATAAAGCCGTGCATCCATGTGCGCATCCATTCAGTAGGCTGTCTTCCATCACCCCTCTACCTGACCATATAGCCAGGCCATTGGCCACTGCTCATGAGTCAGTAAAAACCAAAACCTAAATTCTCCCGTCACTGCAAGGAAAACAGCATGCAATTCAGACCATTGAGCTCATTCGTTATCCCCTTCAATCAAACTCTTTCAACCTGCCAATTTTAGTGTGGTGGCCTTCCAAACAGGATGCTGTTCATCCACCTTGGAACTACCATCCATAAACCAATCAGCTCTTTGTTGTTAATACAGATCTGTGAACAGGGCACTGTCCAGGTGGCAGTAGGATGCAGAAGCTCCTCGGGTGGTTCCAAAGTCAGTCCTAAAAGAAAAGAGGCTACCTGTTTGTAGATACAATGAGTACCTCTTCACATTCCCCCAGTAACATGTTCCTGTGTGACCCATTTCCATTTTATTATGGAAAATTTGGGGGCACTGCCTTCTTTATTTGAGTGTTTCTCTGACATCACCCAAGACATTGTGGATATTTCATGTTTTAGGAGTATTTTATGTCCTTCAATTATAGGAGCAGTCTCTATTAATGACCAATAACAAGCTAGTAGTTGTTTCTCTATTGGTGTATATCTTATCATGCCATCTGGGAAAGTTCTGGTACAAAATCCCATTGGTCACCTATGGGTGGTATTCACAGGCTTCTGCAATATCCTCCAGTCTACAAAAGTATGTGTTACAGACACTTCCAAAATCATGTGTGTATATGGATCATAGGGACAAAAAAAGCTTTGAAAGAGAAACTACATTTTGCAATTTACACATGGCCAGATTTTGTTTGGGTCCTCATTTAAATATACTATTCTTTGGGGTAGTTTCATGAATAGTAGCTAGCAATATTTCCAAATGTGGAATATGCATCCTCCAAAATCCAAATATAATAATGAAACATTGAGCTTCTTTGTTTAGTTCAAGGCATAGGTAATGAAATCAGTTTATTTTTACTTGCCTATGTAATATCATGTGTGGCACCTGACCAGGTTATTTCTAAGAATTTTACTCATTGGGTAGGTCCTTAGACCTTTGCTGAATTTATCAGCCAACCTCTGTTGGTCATGTGTGTCATACCTACATGTAGGTTGATCCTCACTTGGTCTTCAGTTTCAGATATTATCATAATATCATTAATATGGTGTGCTATTACACACAGAACCTAAATCAGTCCAAATCCTTTTTAACCAAATTATTACAGTAGCTGGTGAATTCAAATAAACCTATAGCAATTCAGTAAATATAATTCTTCCTACATAAGGCAAACTGCACTTGGTTGTTTTCCAAGACTGAAACAGAAAAAAGGCATTGGAGATATCAATCACTGATATCCAGTCTCTTAAGCCTGTGTACTTTTTGTGCTACTAAACTCTATTAGGACTATTGATGGTATGAACAGTATTATTTTATTCAAGCTTCAATACTACACTGTTAGTCTTCATGGGTTATCACCTTTTTCTAAAAGCCATATAGGAATGCTGTACAAATAGTTCATTGGTACCAGCACTTTAGCTTCTAAAATGTCATTGATTTCTTTTATGTACTAGATATTCTATAAAGTTTTAAACTAACAACTGTGAGGGCTTGAACAGCTCTAGTTGTTCCCATTTTGCATGTCCAGTCAAGACTGGCAGACTGAAAAGTTCTGCCAGTTCTAAAATGGTGACATAGAGGCAAGTTGGCTTCTCCTCCCCACAAAAAAAACAAAGCCAAATATACAGCACTGAGATCTTCACCAGCAACAACTAGACTTCTACCTCTGCAATGCCCCTCCCCCACATCCTGCCAGGCACCAACTGCACAGAAAATCTCCCCTCAACTTATGGTTTCTACACTGAAAAATGTAACTCACCTTCTTGGGTTTTCTGGCAAGAGACCTATCCTTGTCATAACCTAAGGATAGCACCATGACTGCATGAAGGGAGAGATATCCCTGGGGATAGGCAAAAGCAGGAAAGGGAGGTAGGACTACCATTTCCAAGCCAGAAACTCAGCTCGGTGATTCAGCCAAAGGAGATGCCAAATAAGACCAGCTGTAGGAGGTGTGTTTCCCAGGTCTCCAGGTCACAAACCCTTAGCCAGCCTTCCTACACTGGCAGGATAATCCCTTTAGGACCTCTCATCCTGGGGATAGGCAGTACTCTGACAACTTACTAGAGCCAAGGTGAACCTGGCTTTAAGGCATGACATAGAGCCAAAAAGGAAGTAGTGACTTAGCAGCAAAGATTTGCTAAGTGAATATATTCAATACAAGCCAAAACAAACTTGACAGATAAAACTGGAATAAACAACGAATTTTTCAGGGCACAGACATAGATATAGCTCCACAAGAAACAACAGCAAACGGAATCATGACCTTCTCAAAAGGACAAAGCAAAAATTCAGCAACTGACCCTAACAAGATGGTGATTTTTGAGTTCTTGGATCAAGAATTGAAAATAGCTGTTTAAAGGAAACTCAGTGATCTCCAAGATAACACAGAAAAGTAGTTCATAAATATATCATAGAAATT